TGCCCCCACACGGGGGTTCTGCTCTTAGTCTTGGGTGTGGGGTCTCTCCCCATGGTGTCCCACGCCTGGTAACCCACCTCTGGACCCCACTTCCTTCTTCACACAGTCTCTCACCTCCCCCATCCCAACAGCACATCCCGTTTCTCACCCCCTGCCCTCCCCCCCCCCATACCACCTCCTGCCCCCCCAGGGGTACCAGAGCCCCCAGACCCATGTCACTGGTGTCACCAGGCTGGGCACTGTGACCTGCCCGTGGCGTAGGGGGGGCAGCGATGCCCCCACTGAGTAGCCGCGGTGCTCACCACCGAGTCCAGCATAAACTCTGTACTGGAGACCTGTGGAGCAGAGCTCTGCCTGGCAACAAGTGATGCAAGTGCCAGCAGCCAATAGGATTTTTTTTTTTGCTCCCCCCCCCGGGTGTCAGGGCAGGGTGGGGACTGGAGGGTATTTCCAGGGACAGAGCTGGGGGTGCTCATTTCCATCGGGGAGCCCACCGGAGCCATGGCAGAGGAGCAGCGGGACCTCATCTCTGACCGCGGCAGCGCCGTGCTCAGCGTTGGGAACACCCAGAGGTGCCACTGCTGGGGGGCAAGGGGTGGGGGGCACAGAGAGGGCAAAGTGGGCACAAGTGGGGACGTGGGACAGGGGGGGCATTGCGTGGGTGCGGGATGGAAGGGGATACAGTTGGGCCAAGGGGGTACAGTGACTGCGGGGCAGAGGGTGGGGGGCACAGGGTGGCTACGGGGCACTGTGGAGCCAAGGGGGCTGTGGAAGGGGCCAGAACAGGCTGTGAGGCAGGAAGGGACACGAGGAGAATATGGAATGGGTGGGGCACAGTGTGGCTGTGGGACAGGGGGGATATGGAGTGGCTATGGGACAGGGGGGATATGGAGTGGCTATGGGATGGAGCGGGAATTGGGTGGCTATGGGATGGGGGGGCATTGGATGGCTATGGGGCTGAAGGGGGTCACTTTATCTCTGGGGCAGTTGGGGACAAGTCATGGCGATGGGGCGGACAGGCTCAGCGTGGCTGTGGGGCACAGAGCCATGGCTTGAACCTATAGGAGAAGCAGCACGGCTATGGGACAGGCTGTGGGACAGGCAGGCTGATGACGTGGCTATGGGGCAGGCGCGGGCCCTGGACCCAACTGGCTCTGCGGGGCCGCCATCCCATTGCCACCGCCTGTCCCAACTAGTCCCCATGTCCCAAGCCCCGCGGGGGCAGCCCCCGCCAAAGCTTCCAGCCAATCGAATCCCGGGAGCTGTGACATCACCAGTCTCCGGGCAGACACCCCCGCAGCGCTGTCCCGTTCGGGACATGTCCCTCGGCCGGGCAGTGCTCGCTCCCTGTCGGGCAGCGGAGCCAGGGGGTGGCCTCTGGAGCACCGCTGCACCCCTATAGTGCCACATCCACCCGGCGGGGCAGCATCTGGCACAAAATTTTAAAAATTAACTGCTGTCCGGCATTCCATGGGCCGTGTCCTCTGCCTCAGGAATAAGCGAAGATTCAGGTGGCTTCATAATCCCGCAAAAGGCGATGCCCAGAGTGATATCGTGCCCCAAAGTCCCCTGGCAGTCCCCTGTCCGCACCTAAATGTGCCCACGTACCCCCCGGTACCCGTCCCGTGCCCCCTCCCCCCCCCAGTGAGTTTCAGTTCCTGGTGTGACCTTCACACTGAGTTTTCACTTCTGCACCCTGCAATGGGGGAATTTGCATTTGTCTGGCTGCAAACCCCCCCGGGAAGGGCGTGTTTGGGGCGGGGACAGGGTGATGTCAGAGGATCATCTCCTGAGCTCCCTGTCCGTGCCCGCAGGTCGGTGTTGGGGCGCAGAGCCGGCCTCTCCGTGCTCTCCATCCTGGTGGCCCTGCTGATCGCTGGCCAGGCTGTCACCATCTACTTCGTGTACCAGCAGAGCGGGCAGATCAGCAAGCTGACCAAGACCTCCCAGACCCTGCAGCTGGAGGCTCTGCAGAGGAAGCTGCCTGCCAGTCAGTAGCCCCGTGGGCACCAGTGTGGTGGTGGTGGGGTGTCCAGGGAGAGGGAACAGATTCCCTCTGGCCCACCCAGCCCTGTTGGTGCCTCTCACGGTGCTCTTTCCTCGGCAGGTGCCAAGCCAGTGAACAAGATGAAGATGGCCATGGTGAACACCCCGCTGGTCATGAGGGTCCTGCCTGCTGGCCCCCTTGCAGACCTTCCAGTAAGAGAGTTTCACCACTGCTTGGCACTGCTTGCTCCCCTCAGGGCTTGCTGCTGTGCTCACACTGCTCCTTTGCTTTTTCTCTCAGGCCACGGCCCCTGCTAGCAACAAAACCGAGGACCTGGTGAAGCACCTGCTGCTGGTAAGGTCCCCTGCACCCCCTCCTGCCCCACAGCTGCCCCCCTGCACTGGTTTGGGGTCTCTTGGGGTGCTGGTGGGAGCTCCTGACCTCCTGCAGCATCTGTCTGGATGATATCAGCGCACTCCCACCTGATTTTTCTTTGCCCTGTCTCACCGTGGTCATTGCTTTGCAGCAAGCAGACCCCGGGAAGATGTTCCCAGAGCTGAAGGACAACTTTCTGGACAACGTGAAGAGACTGAGAAACACCATGGCTCACACAGACCTGAAGGTCAGTGCTTGCTGCCATCCTACTCTTCCCCATTCAGGAGTCCCCTGCTTGGGGGAGGGACTGGAATGTCCCCACCTGGAAAAACAAAGGCCTGCTTGAGCCAGGCTTGGGCCACTCCCACCCCAGGGAAGGGGATGGTGCTCACCACCTTCCTTGGCCAAGCTGGAGCTCATGGCACAGCTCCCCTGGGGTGAACTCCCCCCATGCCCATTAATGTGCTGGTCCCCCTCGTTGCAGTCCATGGAATCCTGGATGTACAACTGGCTGCTGTTTGAGATGGCCAAGAACCCCAAGTCAGAGGAGAACAAGGCAATCCCGGCAACTAAAGGTATTGGGGATGGGGCTGCTGAGCTGGGGAGGGTCAGGGAGGTGTTGGCATGGGGCATCCCACAGGGAGCCAAGCCCTCGCTCCGGTCATGGTCCTGTTCATTCCGTGGGGAGCCTCTGCTTTGTGGCCTATAGGACATCACAGAGCATCTCTGTCTGCTGCATGCAGGGCACTTGGGGTGAGCAAAGGGCTGAACAGCTGGAGCACCACCCCAAATCCTCCACCCCTGCCTAGCCCAAGAGCTTGAGAAAGGTCACGGGGCTGGGGCTTGTTCACCTTTAAATTAAACTGCTTCTGGGTAGAATCTCCTGCTGAGGCTGCTGAGGGGGAGAAGGGCCTGAGAGGCTGATGGGGTCTCCCCTCTGTTTCTGTTGCCCTAGTGCAAACTAAATGCCAGGCCGAGGCCAATTTTGGGGGTGTCCATCCAGGCCGGTTCCACCCACAGTGCGATGAGAACGGTGACTACCTGCCCAAGCAGTGCCATTTCTCCACTGGCTTCTGCTGGTGCTGCTACAAAAATGGCACCAAGATTGAGGGCACTGCTACTCGGGGAAAGCTGGACTGCTCTGGTAGGTTGCCAGGGAGGGGAAGGAGAGGAACGAACAGTATGCAAGGACTGCTTGGGATTAGGGAGGAGGAGAGCTAGGAGAGGAGAGGCATACATGCTGTAGGGAGCATCCCTCTGGTGCCAGCACGTTAAGACTAGAGGGGACCCTTAAAACCACAGCCACCCCAGGTCTCTGCAGGTGGAGCCAAGGTATGCAGACAGGGTTTTCCATGAGCCCCCCTTGCCCCTAGCCCACAGCTCAGCAGTGGGTGCAGCCTCTCCCCCACTGCCCTCTGTGGGATGGGGCGTGATGGGGCAGCCCTGGGGTCCAGCACCCATATCCTGCCCTCCCTTTGCAGGGGCTGCTGCTCCTACCAGTGCCGCTGCCACCCCGGATCCGGACGAGATGATCTTCTCCGGGGTGGACACGCTCAAGCTGAATGTGGAAAAACGTGAGTGTCCAAGTGCAGTCCAGGACCAGGAAGGGGAGCTCCTGGGGGAGCACCAAAGCACTGCCGGGGAGGTTGTGATGGAGACAGGGGTTTTGGTTGGTCCTTGAGCTGTCCTGCTGACTACCTCCTCTTTTTGCCCCACAGCAGAGTAGAAGATGCCAGCAGTTGCCTCCAGCATCCCAGCTCCTGTCTGGTTTTTTCCCCCGTTTCTTTTCTGCGCTTACATTGCTCACCTTTCCCCCGATGTAGAACAGCAGCCGGGGCTGAGCTGCCACGACTCAGTGCTAGAGACAAAGTGTCCCCTCAGAGGGTGGGTAAAGCAGGCTGGAAAATGATTTCAACCATGTCAGATCCATAAATCCTGTTTCCTTTGGCTCATCGACATCCCACAGCACCTAGGCAGTGGCAGAGCTCACCCCTGCTGAAGAATTAATGCTTCCTTGCACTAAATGAACATTAAAAGCAGCAAAACAATATCCACCAGCTTCTTAACTGATCCCTGTAGGCTGGAGCCCTGTTAGATTACTGGAGTAGAGCGTTTTTATTGTGGGGTGTTCAGATTTGTAGACAGAGATCTTCGCCTACAGCCGCAGCAGTGGGTAACCGTGGGCAGAGGGGCTTCTAATCTTCCTGAATATATCTGATTGTTCCTTTATAAATGAGCTCAAAAGCTAATTATTTCAAATAAACTTTTGAATAAGAAAGCCCTATAAGCAACTCTAGCAGGGCTGTGCTTGCAGTTTGCAGCTGTTGTAGGTTAAAAATAAATGCATCTTAATAAAAAAAGGGATAAAGAAAAATCTCTGCAAACACTTGGACACCTGTGTCCTCACCCAGGACTGTATGTGTTTCTTTCCCGATTGCTGGCCCCTCCCTTGTTTGATTTCCCATGCACCCTGGGGCCCCCCTGGCCCCCATCATGGCCCAGGAGGCTGAAGTCTCCTTTCAGTGAGTCACAGTGGTGGGGGGAGAGAAGAGGAGCAGCCCCCTGTGCCAGGAGCCATCTCCCTCCTGGAGCCAGGAGGCTCCAGGAGCTCCACCCTCACCCACAGAGCACAAGGGGATCTGGTCCGTTTTTCCTCACCTCCTAGATCCCAGTCTGTCCCCAGGGAGCAGGAAGAAAGCAATTATTTTTTCCCCCAAGGGTTGAAATAGTGCCCATGAACCCAGGCAGACATTAGGCTCTGCTCTCTTACCCACAACATCCTCCACAGCCAGGTGGTCTTGGTCACCTCCATTCCTTTGAAAGCAGCAGAAGCAAAATCTTATATTGTTGGGGTTTATTTTGTACTCCATAAAAAAAACAAGACAAAAACTGACTCTGCCTTGGCTGAGAACAACTGCTGGACACAGCTGTTCAGTGCAACTCCACGGACATGATAATCACTACTGTCAGTGTTAGAATAAAAAGGAAACCCGAGCTCTCTTCTGTAGTAGCAAAAGGATTGACACCACAAGTCACAGAAGGAGGAGGGGAAAAAAAGGTAAAGGTTTCTCTTAAAAATATAGCTCTGTGGTAAGAGAAAGGGACGGCTGGGTGTCAACAAGGAGAAAAGCAGCTTGTGCTCTGCTCTGGTCAAACTGCCTTCTCCAGTTCTGTTCCACGGGGAGGGACAATAAACACATCTCTGGGCCCCAGCAGGGCAGGAGGAGGCAGAAAATTACACTGCTCTGCTCTAAAAGTCACAGTTAAAAGAAATTATAAATTATATTTTAAAAAAAGTTGGAATTCTCCTGATGAGCTTCCTTTTCCTTTCTTCTGTTTGATCTTCACCCATAAATCCTTAATCACAGGAATGCGGTACCTTTGGGGAGAGGAGTTAAAAGCGTTAGGGATGGGGAGGAGGAGAACAGCCTCACAGCTGAGCAGAGCACGGGCAGAGGCATCTGGTCCACTTCAGGTGGCTACAACATCACCATCTAATCCACATCACTCTTCCAAGCTCCCTGTGGTCAGCAGGGACAGACAGACACTGCCAGAGGCCGCTCATCTCTGCTGGTGACAGAGGTCAGCAACATCCAAGCTGGATATCCAGTTCTCAGCAGCTAAAGAGTTGAGGTCAGACACATCCAGAGAAGCCAGCACACGGCTGCATGACATTCCTCACACTGCTCCACTCCCTGGCCCTCTAATCTAAGGCCAGGCTGGCTCAGTGACCACTTAGAGGGCACACTGTCTTCCCAAAACTGGCCCAGGAGTTCTGAATTTGGCCAAGGTTACCGCCGCTCTGAGGTACCAATGGATAGTCCCCATCTACAGGCCATGTACCTTCTCACAGTCCTTCAGGCTCAGCTGTTTTCTTCTTCTAAAAAGAAAACAGGGAGAAATAAATAATTATCATCAGCACCGCAAACATGAAGGACCCAGCAAAGCCACAGAGGCTTCCTGGATATGTCCCTGTGGAGGTGGTAGCCACCACAAGGAACATCCTGTAGTCTCCCTTTGAGCCCTTGGAATGGGATGCAGTACAAGATGAACAGAGAGCTGAAGAGCAGCACTTACTCCTTGGACAGGCTCTCTCTGCCACCAAAAGGGCCCCTGGGTTTGACCCCTCCAGGGACAGGGATCTCTCCTGGGGCAGTGATACAAGAACAAGCCCTTCTTCGAGCCACCCTAATCCCAAACAAAGATTTCTCAAGATTGGCCACAGTGAACTGCAGGCTCCTTTGTACTGCCAGCAAGGCCAGGACATGGCTCTGTTCCTTCTCCAGCCTGGCACGCTGCCAGGATGGGATGAGCACCACAGCCATGGCTCAGAACAGCTCTGCCCACGGTAACCCAGCCCAGGGTCTGGCACATACCTTCTTCTTCTTCTTGTGAACCTCAGCAGAGCCATCTGCTACAGGCTCCCCTTCAAAAGACACCTTTTTGCTTTTCTTCTTTTCTTTTCCAGTCTTCTTTTCTGGGAGATGGAAAGAAAAGCCAACTAAGAGAGGGATTCTGGTATTGTCAGCCTCTGAGAGGGAGCACAGACTGGCAGGAGAACCCCCAGTAAGTTTTTGATCACATCCAAACTTGAGCAAGCTTTCCAGAGCAGGAACTGGATGAGGCCGGAAGCCTGCTACAGGCAGCTGTACCCAGGGATGTTTCCCTAATACCTCTGAGCCAGAGCAATTTGATCCCACCATCTGTCTACACATGTGGGTGGAATTACATAGGATTCCCTTCTTTCCATATCCTGCTGCCCACCCGCTCCAAGGAACCGCTTCAGGGCTGGAGGAGCTGGGCACATGCCAGAAATGAGAGCAAGGGGAGCTGCTAACACAGGATGGGCACGAGGTTCAGCTCAGCACAAATGCTCCAAGAGGCTTCAGCTCACCCATGTGCAACTGCCCACATGAGGGCCAATGGACAAGTCTGTCTGCTCCAAAAATAAGGGCTGCATTTCAGCAGAATAGAAACTCCAGCAGATCTGGCCCAGCCAATCCATCTCCTTTTCTTTTTTTTTTAAAAGCCTACAAGATCCAGCACAGAACCAGCTCTGGTTTGCAAACGCAGGCTGCACTGCAAAGAAAAAAAATGGCCTTTGGATTAGGGCAGCAGGCAGAGCACTACAGAATGGCAAATTGTAGAAAGGTAACAAGTGACAGGATAAGAGGAAATAACCCCAAGTTGAGCTAGGGGAGGTTTGGATTGAGTATATGAAAAAATTTCTTCACTGAAAGGGTTGTCAAACACTGGAACAGGCTGTTTGGAGATATTTAAAAGATGTGTAGATATGGCACTTGGTGACATGGTTTGGGAGTGGGCCTGGGTTAATAGTTGGACTTGATGATCTTAGAGGTCTTTCCAACCCAAATGACTCTGATTTAAGAGGGAAGCAGCCAAGCAGGAAGCCAATGGGGAAGTGGGTGCTACTTACAAGGCCCTGCACTGGAGGCTGAACATGCATCAGCTGCAAGAACCTACTGCCAACTAGGCCCCAAGTGTAGCATGCTTACTTTTAGCTGTTTTTTTCTTTTCCTTGCTGCCTGCTGTCTTCTCCGGGTCACCATCTTCTTTCTTTTTTTTCTTTTTGGGTACTTCTTCATTAGCCTGACCTTTCCGTTTCTTCTCCTTGGGCTGCCCCACAGCCCCATCCTCTCCCCCCAGTTTCCGCTTCTGAGACGTTTTCTGCTTCTTGTTCTCTTTGTCTTTGCTCTTAGACGGTTTCACAGCCTTGTCTGCCGTGGAGGATGGTTTCTTCTTTTCCTTCTTTTCTTTTTTCTCCTTTTTCTTCTTCTTCTTCGCTTCCAATCCTTCCACTGCCTGCACTGCAGGGACTTTGGCAGCAGTGGTGACCTCAGTTTCGCTCCCTGAGCTTGGCTCCCCTGACTGTGGGACGGAGAGCGGGGCATGTGATGGTCCTGGGGTCACTTGCACCTCTTTTGCACCAACATCATTCTCTTTCGCTGCCAGGGCTTTCTTGAGTGAAGGTTTGCGGCTGGCATGACCTGGCTCTGTTTTTCCTGCCACCTTCTCTTTGTTGGAGGCTTCTGTGGCTTCCTGCCCTGAAGGGGGGTTGTTTTCTGCAGAAACAGTGACAAGAGAGAGAAGACAACTCAGGGAGCACTCATTACACAGACCACAGTCACAGGAGGATGGAAATATGCATTTGAAGAGGAGCATCCAGTACTCCTCACAAGAAAGCTAAACCTGCTGGCTACCTATAGCAAAGTCAAAGAAAGATGCCTCAGCCTGAGATCAATTATCTGGAGAGGGAAGGGGGTGACAACACTCACAACAGCTTTGGCTGTTTGACAAGATGGGTGAGCACAGACAGATCAGTCCTTCCCCAGGACACCATTCCCAGTAAGTCAGGGACTTACCAAGGTGGTGGGGGTATCCACACCACCACATTTAACCATCATCCATGGCAAACCCCAGTGCACCTGGGCCTTCTCGAGCCCATATATAGCCCTGACCTCCTCAACACTCTTCTGCATGATGTAATTATGTGCTCAAGGGGCCAACAGACCTGTTTGAGCCTCTAGAGCAGGCCAGAGCTCACAGCCAGGCCACAGTTCACACCACAGCAGAAGCAGCTTCCAGCTCCAATTTCTGCAATTTGCCAACAAACCAGGGAAATGGTGGGACTTTCCCTTTCTCCACAGGTCTTTCCACTTGCTTCCCCTGCTCTGCACTCCAGATATGCTACAGACCCCACACAGCACTGGGCATACAGCCCAATGGGAGGCTTAAATAACAGCACTGTGTAGCAGATGTTCTTCAGCCAGTGTTTGAATCTTCCACAGAAGCCATCACTACCTCAGCACACCAATGCAGTGTGCCTCAGCTCCAGGGAGAGCCCTCCCTGCTCCTGTTAATTACTGTGGATAAAGCAGAGCTCAGAGGAGACAAAGGCACTGAGCACTGAGCCTCACAAGCATCCAGCATGAGCAGGGTGTTCAGGGAGAGGCCTGTGCCATGGCCAGGGAAGCCAGCAGACGGCAGCAGCACTCCATGCTGCTGGGCTCCGTGATGGAGACAACACTGGGAACACGGCCCGTCCCACTGACACCCTCGCCAGTGTCACCCTCCTGTGCCAGCACGGCTTTGCTCCAGGGACAAGCAAATTCCCAACCCTGCCAAAGGAGACCCACCTGCTTTGTGGTTTGCAGCCACCTGGTTGTCATCTGTGTCGGAGTCACTGCTGTCAGTGCTTGAGCTGTCGGCTGGGGCTGCTTTCAGAGGGGCCTTGGCGGGAGAGTTTGCAGCAGTCACAGCTGCCTTCCCCGGCCCCACTTCACCTACAGGCTGGGAAGGAACCGTCTTTGGGGCCTGGGGTGCTGCTGGGGCCTTGGAGAAGCCCAGATAGCCTGTGAGGAGGGACTGAAACAGCACAGACACACTGAAGAGTCACAGCAGGGCAGCCTCCCACACACCAGACACACAGAGCTGTCTCTGCTGCTATTGTCCTCATACTCCAAGTGAAGGGCCCACCTTTGGCCACTGGTGGAGCCAGCTCTGAAGAGCTCAGGGCTACCAGGAGAGGGGCCAGCCCTGACAGACACCAGCTGAGCTGACAGCCATGAGAGCTGGCGGCCAGAGGTTCTCTTCTTTGTTCTCGCCCAGCAAGGCAGGCTTGGGGGAGGCTCCTGGCCATGAGTGTGCGCCCACGCACAGCTAATGCACTGCAGATGTGCTGCACGCCCTGCACGTTACTTACAAAGGGAATTTAATGGCTTGGACACGGGTTAAGTTACAAATAAAAGTGGGGGAAAAAAATTCCTGCTGCTATTGGCACTGTGCACCAGTTCTCCTGGTTTAACCCTTGCAAGGTACCATCTCCTCCCGTCTCTTCTCCCAGCAAAGGCACCATGAACCCTGGACCCAAGGCTGGCTACCTGGGGAAGCATTCCAGGTCCAAGAGACTCCCTCTTCCCCCACCAAAAGTCTTGCTCACACCACTCCACTGGAGGGCCCCCAGTTCTCTGCTGGAAAATCCACCCAGCACCCTGTCTGCTACGACTGAGGACTGAGTCCTCTCTCAATCCTACTTAGGAGCCTGCTGCAAGACATGAGAGGATCCTAGCCTGCTCAGGTCCCATACCTGTGATGCTGCCTCCTCCTCCTCCTCACTGGACTCTGAGGAGGAGCTGTGGGCTGGCTGGGTCACTCCTGGTTTCTGCAGCGAGCCTGCTGGAAGAGCAGAGTTCATCCCATTAAAACCACCACTGCTGTCTGGAGCTGAGCTCACCTACCCAGCACAGGTGCTGCCACCAAAAGGCCCTTCTACCTCCAAAGAAAGAGGAGTGCTCTGCCAAGCTGGACAGAAGGAACCACTCTCCAACCACTACACACCTCCTACAGGGTAGCAAAGCACTGTCTCCACCCTGACAGCACTTAAAGCATCTTCTGGAGAGAACTGACCAGTTCTGGGGGGCTCCTTGGGCGCCTCCTCCTCGTCACTGTCAGAGGAACTGCTGCTGTCTGTGGTGTCCTCTGCCTGGGTGGGCAGTGTGGTCTGGCTCAGCTGGGCATTCTGCACTGGCTGCAGGCCTGGCTTCTTCACCTTGCCAGTGGAACTTTCTGGGAGCAAAGCAGCCTGAGGGGCGGCAGTGTTGGCTGGAGGAGCTTTTCCCACAGGAACCGTTTGCTTTAAGCTGGAAGCAGCAGGGGCCTAGGGAGAGGAAAATGAGATAGATCTGAAAGGAGGAATAACTAACTGCTCATGTCCATGAACTATAAGCAGCAGCCCAGAGCAGATGGGCTTGGACCACCTCGTCCCTTCTTCAGGTGACACTACTGCAGTTCGTGTCAGGGTTAGCCCAAGAATCTCTCAGGCAGGACACAGAGACCCCAGCAGACCCATCTTCTCCCTCTCCTCAGAGAAGCTCCCACCTCCTCCATCATTACCTTTCCTGTCAGCACATTGTGCTCCAAGGAATCCATGCTGGAGCTCTCAGACACTCTGCTTGCTGGAGGGACAGCAGGAGTTTTTACCTTCTTCCCTGCGGGCAGGGTGGCATTGGCTTTTGCAGCCACCGTGCTCAAAACCGCAGTCACTTTGACATTCTGCTGGGGTAGACTCTAAAACAGATGAGAAAGAAAATCACGACAGAGCACAACCTGGAAGGAAAAGATAAAGAAGTATACACCAATCCAGCACTAACTCATGAGCCTTTCCATCATTTTCAGCACCAAGGCCTTTTGTTTATTTTTTCCTTCTCTCCTTTACAGACCAGCTCTGCCTCCCATGAGCCTCTGAGGCCTCTGGCACAGCCATGAGCAGCAGTAAGGGTCAGCACCCCGGGAGTGCCAAAGCATTAGCTCAGTGCCCCAAAGGCACCCACCAGGAGGGCAAACGAAATGTGTTGTGCTTGCAGGCTGTGAATCCCTACCCACTGCAGCACCAGCAAGACTGCAGTTGCAAACCTTTGCATAGCCACCACTTGGACTCCAAGATGTCTTCTACATTCTAAAAATCACACACTAAGAGTTAATTGGTAAGAAGGATAAACAAAGACACCAATCACAGAGAAAATGTGCCTCCAGGTCCACAAGCCAGCAACAGATTACGGAGTAAATTAACAAGACGCAATTTTGTTGCCTCACATTTAAAACCTCCCATCAAACTTAATGTAAGAGGAGTTAAAAATAGAAGAGCCAGGGGCATGGAAATCAGGCACTGACGACAGGGCCAAGACACAAATGCCAGCAGAGGAGGGAGCAGGAGCCACGAAGGAGCATTTGGCCTCCTTGTTTGTGTTACCAAAAAGGCTACGTGAGCAGCTCTGCCTCTCCAGATCTCTGACAAGCTGGGCCTTTGTGGGCTGACATTTCCCTCACAAAACATCTGGCCTTCAGAAAGGAAAAGGCAACGCTCTGCCATGCAGAGCCACCAATCCAGTGTGAGCTCTCAGCCCTCTCACACAAAGCTCAAGTTACAGCAGCTGCATTATTTTATACAATCTTAGTACTATAAGCATGCTTTACTCAAGGACTGCTCAGGCTGGCTGCCTGTCCATCAGCTGGCGGGAGACAGCCTTTCCATAGCCACAGCATCAGGCCAACATGGGGAAGGGTTTCCTGAGTGTACATAACGTCCCTCTCCCAGCAAAGGCACTGGCAGAAGATGGGTATGTGTGGGATATGAAGTGTGCTTGGCCACTAAGCTGGGCTCAGAGCACCAGCCAAGCCACCACCACATAGGAACGGTAGCCACGTTCCTCAGTCAGTGTTTTTTCATGCAGCTTCTTGGGCTCAAACTGCAGCAGAAGCGCAGAGACACCCAAGAGAGCTTCCCACCAAGGCAGCTCTGTCCCCAGGGAGCTCAGCCACAGCCTTGCAGGACTGGCATGAAGACATGAAAAGACTCCAATGGCAGCACTGGGATCAGCTCCATGACACTCAGCGTGCTCTCAGCACAGATATGGAGTCACCTCCCTTCTCCAAGGCAGGGTCTGGCTCCTCTAGCTGAAAGGCAGCAGGACCACTGTGCTACCCTTCAAGACAGATCCTTCCATCCTCCCAAGGCTTGCAGAAGAGGAGTCCAGAGAGCTCCAAGCTTTCGGGAGGAATCAGGCAATGGGTTGCCTTGGAGCTACACAGCTGATGGAAAGACGCTGCCTGGAAGGATTTGGCTGCTTTTTCAGTCTTACTTCCTAGAGTAGAGCAGAGGCAACAGAGTCCCAGAGGAGGTCTGGGTTCATGTGTCTACTTGTGTTCCTGTCAAAGCATTCACACTCCCCACTGCTCTCACACACTGTAAGATTGCTGTGGCCAAGATGGGCACCCAGATCCACAGACACTGCCAAGAAAACCTGATCCAGCCAAGGGGGGGCTCCCCTGAACCACATATCACCTGCACAACTACCACCTTCCAAATCCTGAGACCTCCTGAGCTGCAGAACTAGCAGTCTACACACTCACCTGAGAAGGGGGGACTATTTCGTTCTCTGAATCTGACTCCTCGCTGGAATCATCGCTGCTTTCCGCAGCTGGAGGGGTTGTGGCTGGTGTCGAAGCCAGTGCCTTCTTCACATTTGTTGGCTGGAGCACAGAATTGGTTTTCACTGCAGGAAAACCATAAGAGATTGTCATTGTGAGAAAGAGTTGCTCTCTGTGGCTATCCAGAGCAGGAGCTATCACAACAGGCCGCACTGTTCCATGTGCAAGGGAGAGGAGGAAACCCACGAGGATGCAGGTGAGGGATCCTGGTTACTACAAGGAGACTCACCAGCTTGTGGAGGCTGCCTCTGTGCTGCAGGGGACTCCTCTTCACTGTCAGAGGAGTCACTGCTCCCACTTTCTGAGACCTGGCTTTTCAAGGTGCTTCCCACTGCTTTTTCAGGCGGCCCAGCTTTAGCAGTCTGGCTCAGGTTGGGAACAGGCCCGGGCTGTTCTGTTAACCTCTTAACAAAACAGAAACACAGGCCCAGAAATGCCGTGTTAGTACAGGTGTTGTTTAGGAGTTTAAGTGCAGTTTCAGCTCAAGTTGGGTTTTGTTTTACCCTAACACAGCTGTTACCAACACTCCATCCTTGGCACGTTAGGAGTGGAAAAGGCTTCAGTTACTGCCTGGACTGAGCTGCTGTACACACATACTTCTGCATTTAGCAATTTGCTTCTGACAGGAAACCCGAGAGTGTTTCACTCACGAGCATGCAGGCTGACAGTGCTCGTAAGCACACAACAGCAATTCCTTCTTCAGGCAGAGACACTGGCTGGACAGGAGCCTGAGGAGAAAGCACTGCAACCCCAAGCCTTTCACTCCAAGGAAGAGTTTTATTTAAGTATGACCTACCCACAGCTCAGGGAATCTACTGAGCTGGGAAGCCTTGTGCCCTAACACTTGCAAGATTCAGAGACAGTAACAGAGCAGCTACATCCTAGAGGTGCTGGAGGGCTCAGTGTTAACACAGGGCTGTCACAAGGGTTTGGGGACACAGAGGGCAGGCAGAGATAGACTGGGATTCACCTTGGAAACTGATGTGCCAATAGGTCTCAGAAATCCTCAGACAACAAAAAACCTCTGACACTCACTTTCTACAGCACCTGTCGACACTGATGTCCCAGGACAGGCCACAAGCCACTTCCCAAAGCAACTGCTGTGTCAGCACTAGGAAGCCACAGTCATCTCAGTCTCAGACACACAACTGCCAGGTGAGACTCTCTCTCTTCCTGGCCCCTCTCCCAGTTTGTGCTGAGGGCTGCAGACCCCCGTCCTGCACATTGAATGCTAATGCTGACAGAGGGACAGGCAGCACTTGTGCACAGATCTGGGAATTTCACCCCCCACAGATACTTCCCAGGCTCACAGTGCTCTGCACCCACTCCATTTACTCCACTCATGGCTCATCTCTGGGCTGCTCTGCCAAAGAGTACATCGTGTTTGCCAGGGCAGGCAGACCCTGTCCCCCTGGCATGTGATGGCAGCCTGCTTTGGCACTCAACGAGAGAGTCCTGCCCAGCTGCATCGCCCCTGCCACCCCCCTGCCATGCTGCCAACACAGTGATATACCCCAGCAGCAGAGAGCACCAGCCTAGCAGGCCCCCCAAAAGACCAATCCTACCATGCCTCCTGGCACAGCCCTGCCACAGCCTGCCACTGGGGCAGTGTTTATCATCTCCAAGCCAAACACTAAACAGACAACAGCATCTGCATGTTTATCCCATTACAGAACAGCTCTCTGAACAAGCCAAGTACATTTTGACTCTGCTTAGAGAAACAGAAACCTCCACGAGTGCTTGGGGAGGGGGGACTGCAAACCTCAATTCTCCGTTTTGTTTTGATACCAGTGAGTCACAATCTCCAGGAGAGAGGCCAGATTTGCAAAGATGAAGAGAGAGAACTACTTGAAGCACACAGAAGAATTCACACACATTACTCTGAGCGTGCTAGCTCCTCTCCCTGCTGTCCCAAGCACTGCTGTGCAAGGGAAGAGCTTACCAAGATCAGAGCCCACTCACTCAGTTTTAAGCCCTTCATAGCAACAGGACTGGTTTCTCCCCCTGTGCGGATGCACAGCACAGGGCTGCTTGATTTCCTAACTTAGCAAGGGAGTGGGAACAAGCTGCCATGCAGGAGCATCCTAACACAGAAAGAACACAACAGCATCCACAGAGAAATCACCGTAAGGTTTGCACAGCCTCAGGACTCCTCAGATCTTCCTGGAAGGAGGCCAAGGTCCCTCCATCCCCATCAGATGGATGACAGCTGCAGGTGGGATCAGACTGGCAGCACGGCCGAGTTACACCCAGGGAGCAGGTAACACAGGCAGAGAGTTTCTGACAGCTTGGGAGTCACAGGTACTGAAGTAACTCGGAGAGGAGGAAAATAACTCAAGAGGAAATCATTTTTCCTGCTCCCTCTCCAGCCCCCAAAGCAGGAGCTGCCTGCGGCTCCGTGAGTGTGATGACTCAGCTCCCGCACAACCCATCTGCCACTCGCTGGGTCCATTTGCATCATGCAGCACTGCATGACAACAGGGGGAACAACACTGAGCCACGTGCGCCCAGCACGTTGTACAACCACATTCCATCGCTGCCTGTGCACCGCGGAAGCACCGCGGGATCGGATCGGGACTGGGACCAGTATCTCGGCTGTGTCATGGCCCAGCAAAGGTACAGCTGTCAAATGCTCGGGAGGGGCAACAGGGTTCAAAGAGACTCTCTGACTTTTGGAGATCTGGCCTCTCCCCACAGGGCCTGCGGTCCAGGATAAAAAGTTGCGGGTGCAGCTCCTGCTAGCGCAGCCCACACGGGTTTTCCCGGGATGCTCAAGGAAGACACGGGTTCCCAACACGTGGGTTCACGTGCATCTCACACCTACTCCTTGTAAACAGAAGCAAAAACCTGTCCATAGAGGGTTCAAGTGCCACCTTTGGCTCAAAACGTCCAGGAGAAGAGGCAGAGCAGAATTAGCTGTTCCGAAAGCAAAGCAGCTCACAGCATCTTTAGGGTCAGACTGTCCCCCATCACCATCCTTCCCCCCCAAAAATATGCAAAACACCTTGTCAACTTCTTTAACTAAATATTCCTGAGTCTTCAGGGGTAAACATACCAATTAAGCAGTTCAATTTAGGCATGATGTTCATTTTAATTGTGCTAATCCACCCCCACAGGGAAGGATGAAGCAGCTTCCAACGCTCTGTATCTGTTTGGATCTTGCACAGAAGCCAGAGGAAGTTGCAGGATACAGTAAGTCAGTGGTTAGCATATGCCCAAGTAGCAGATGGTGAGGATGAGCTAAGAAGAGTTTGACTGGGAGGACAGGACTGTGGACACAGCTAAGCCCAACGGTTTGTCTCCAGGCTTCACTCGTGGTCTCTGCCTGTAGGTTACTAACATGGGAAGAAACAGCCTGTTTGGCAAAAATAGAGCTCCCTCGATGACAAGCTCTTCCTTGCTGTGTCAGTTTGCAAGAGGGAAGATGCTGAAGTGGTTAAATCAGCAGGTAAAACTTGCTGCTGACAGCTTCACAGAATCAACACTGGGGGAAACAAACCTACCCCATCACATCCTTCACCTACAACCCTGCTAAAACGGACGAGTCTTGATGGATTTGCAGCAGGACCCTGTGGCACAGCTATCAAAATAGCTGCTCCTGTCACCCAGAGCTGAATCCTCACATACAATCAATCACGCAGGAAGAGAGCAGCAAGAGCTAACTGTTAGAGATGCGTCCCCCTCCACCCACCTTAGCAGACCAAGGCTATGAAGACAAAAATGCAGAGCCTTGCTGGCTCCTGCCTGTCAATACTGAAAGGATGTGTTGACAAAGAGCCTCCTTGCACGGACACGTGAGGCTCTGCCCCCGGCTTCTCTTCCTCCCTTGCAGACAATACGTGCCATCTCCAAAAGGCTGCTTTCAGGGCACTTTCTGAAGGGCCCTGCAGCTCAGACTCAAGGCAGAAGGTCTCAATACAACATGTGGGATTTAATTCCCTTTGAGTTTAGCCACCTGGGTCCAATCTGTGCTCATGGTTAAAGAACTCAAACCAAACCCTCACAGGAGAGCCAAGACCAAGCTACCCGTGACCCTGCACACAAGGCCCACTCCAGAGGGGCAATGCACGAGTGAAGAGAACAACTGGTATCAAACAGGGTACCCCCCACCCTCCTCTGGTATGGCTGAGTGAGCAGAGTTAGGCTGTACTTGTTGCTTCCAAGCAGGAAGATCTTCCTCTCTGAGGGAGATGCAACATACTTCTGGTGATTCAAGAGATCAGTATTAGCATTTAAGGGATAAACATCTGTCTTGCATACCCCATCCCTTGGCACTGGGCTGAATGAGGATCACCTACCTTCTGGCTGATGGGCACAGGGAGATCCTCCTCTTCACTGCTTGAAGAGTCAGAGCTTTCCACTGGCTTTACACTTTCAGCAGGCTTTGTGGGAGCAGCAGTCCTTCCCAGCAGGGTTTTAGCCTGCTTTGGCACTGCTGTTTTTGGTGCTGGCTTCCCTTGTGACACTGGAAGTGTTTTTGCTGGAGATGCTTTGACGGAAAGTGATGCTGCTGGTGTAGGTTTCACTGGGGATGGGACGGTCTGGGAGGATTTTGGAGGTGACTTTGTCTGGACAAGACATGAACAGAGTGAAATAAGGCAAATTCTCCAGCAGCATAATTCATTTGCTTAGACTGTAATCAAGGGAAGAGATTTCAGAGCCCTCTGGGAAAGACAAACCCTGAAGGAAGTTTAGTGACTGGCAGGACACAAGGAATTCTTTCATCTAGCCGTGTGGGGATAGTCTCCCAAGATGAGAAAGCAAGACCAGATATTCTTCATCAGCCTGCTGCTACTAATAGTCCCCTCCAGTGAGGTACAAGGCAGCACTTTGCACTCTCCACAGCTGGGAAGCTGGACTGCACTACAGCTTGACAAATTAGACACTATTTATTGCTATTTAAACCTGAGGAGCAAATTCCACCACGACAATTTGCCTCTTCAGATGGTAAAGGAATTACTGGGAGGCTTTTTTATTTAAAAGTACTGACGGATTTTTTTGTTTTGTTTTAAGAAAGGCACAGTGGGGTGATTAAAGCTCAGAGCCAAGACACTGAGGTGCTTTTGAACACCCCACGCCTTTTCCTCCCACCCCCAACAAGACTTTGATACACACTACGTGCATTTACAACATTTTCTTTTCACTGCAGTTCCCAGCCCTGAGAGGTGTGCAAGGAGAGAGAGAGTTTCAGACAGACGCACTTGGGTTACTGAAGGAAGTTCTTCATCTTCACTGTCTGATGAGCTGCTGCTCTCTGATGTGTCAATGGGCTGCCCAGCCCCTGGAACCGTTGTGGATGTAGGTTTGGTCTGGCTTGGTGCCAGCGCTGTTTGCTTCACTGCATTCTTCTTGTGAGACACCGGAGAAGCAGGTGCACTTTTCACAGGTGCTGCATTAAACTGCGCTGCTTTCACAGCTGGTTTTGCCTGGTAACAAAAGGGAACAGGAGAATCAGGTAACACCTCAGAAGAAAATGGCTGCATGGAATGTTTTAAAGCAAGCTGCCTTGCTAACTTTGACCAGGACAGGCTCGTTCAGACCCTTGGGTTGTGGAGTATCTGAAAAAAAGCCAATTTCCCCACAGACTCCCTGACTACAGCCGCGAAACTGCACACCAATCACCTCCTACAGATCAAAGGATCTCCCTCAGCTTCAGGCACTAGTAGAAACTGGGATGGAATGATTGATGCCAGTAGGGGTTAACGGGGCTCTAAGCCACATAGCATGTTCTCTGGCTTTGGGGATCTCACACACCCAAGGTAAAGGGTGTTGTCAGAATACAGCATTGCAGCATTTCCTCTCATCTCCAAAAGAAGGGAAGTGACTTCTTAGGGACAAAGAATGTGTTGGAGTGGTTACCTGGACGGCTGGAGTTGCCAGCTGCTCCTCTTCCTCAGAGGATGTGTCCTCACTTGATTCCTCACTGCTGCTCTCGGCAGCCCCAGCCGCCTGCTTCGGCTCTGGAACACAAGCGAGGAGATGTCACAGCTGCTGCCTGCTCTGAGCCCCCAGAGAGCGATGCTAATGTGGCTTTTGAAGTCAGGGAAAGAAAACAAGCCGCAGAGAGGGCTAAGGGATTTGCAGGGAAGAGGACCCAGCCCTGCTGAAAGCATCAGTGGCCTGCTGGGAGCAGCTTTTCCAGACAAACACTGGCCCACAAACACCATTCCAAGAGTGCAGGCAGAGATGGGAAATGCTTCCTGGCCACCCTCTGACCCTACGGGGAGCTGCCCAGCCACACGCAGGGGCACCCAGCCTGGCTGGGCCTCCTCTGGAAAAGAGCCAAGAGAAGAATCATTTTCAGAGCTTCAACAGTCTGTGCCTCACCCCCCTCCTCCAACACACACATACACACACACACACACTTCAAAGCACTTAAAGATTTCCCTAAAGACTTCAAAACTCCAAACTAATCATTTGCAATTGGGAATAAAGAGAAAACGCTGCAGTGCCTTTCAAAAAAGCTGAAAGTATCTGTAACATCAGTACTGCATCTCTTGCGGACACACTATGCTGTTACCCCCAACCCTGTAATGCTGGGTGCTGCCAGACAGACATTTTAGCACAGGATCTGCTGCTTGAAATGGGAGCAAGCACGCTGGATTCATCCCACGGAGCTCCAGAGCTGGCTGCTTTGCAGTGTTCTAGCAGCCTCCCCAAGGAACAAGCATCACTCTGAGCTTTCCAGCAAGGGAGCTGAAAGGAACATGCTGAAGGCACGTCTCAGACCCGATTCACAGCAGAGCTGGAGCAACACACACACATTTACAACACCCTGCAGGCTCCTTACCCGCTTTGGGGGCTGGGGCCTTCGCAGTCGGTGTCTCCTGTTCCTCCTCACTCTCGGATGAGGAGCTGCTGCTGCTGCTGGAACTTTCCGGTGCTTTGCTCACTACTGGTGCTTTGCTTTGCCCTACTTTGGCCACGGCTGCTGTGGCATGTTTGGGCTTCCCAGGAGCAGGTAGTTTCTGGGCCTTGGCTGGAGCTGGAGCTGCAGTCAGAGCATTGGGCTGCTGCTTGTTGTTGGAGAGCACAGTTCTGTCGGGAGCAGGGAGTGCCGCTGCTCTGCCCGCTGGGGCAGTGGGCTTGGGAGGAGAATGCAGGGAGTTGGCAGCTTTGCCAACCACCACAGCTGGTGTCACCTACAGGAAACATGAAAATTAGAAGCCTACACACAGATGAGGGGCTAAATTGGAGACAATGTACCTTCAACAGCAATCCGGCAACCAGGCAAGCGCTTTAAGGAAGGATTTGGGAGACAGATATCTGAGAGAAGGCTTATGGCAGCACAGGAGGGTCATTTTAATAAGAATTCCAACCCAGCTCACAATTCTACACATGCTAAGGAGTCTGGGACAGTCCTGGCCTCAGAGTACCATCTCAAAGCCATGAGAATTGCCTTACCGCCACTGCACCTTTCCCAGCTGGCGCCTCCTCTTCTGACGAGGACTCATCCTCTTCACTGCTTTCTACAGTTGCTGCTGAGTTTGTGGCCAGAGAAAGGCTGGCTGCTGCACAGGAGAGAGCCACAGAACAGCTCTGTGAGTGTGTTTCTCACAACAATGTGGCCTCTGGTTTGCAGGAAGGTCCCAGCAGCAGGGCAGGGTCCCATCTCCACACTTGCCCCAACACCACCATCACTGCTGTCCCTGTGACAGACAAGTGCTTTGCTCCTCCAACCCATCCTTCTCCCCAGCACCAAGACAAGGAACCTGCCAAGATCTGCAGGTTTTCAAAGGCTGGTCAACAGCAGATGAACTGAGCCAAAATACATCAGACACATGGGTTTTTGTTAGACTCTGCAAGCCAACGCCACCCACATCAGCTGCACCAGGGATCTATCCCCACTTCAGACAGGGGCACTGGGTTTCCAGACCAACTAAGTCCTTCCCTCACCCATGTAACAGGCCCATCCTGCTGACCCCACACACACCTGGGACCAACTAGTGCTCCACAGTGGGCAGTGAGAGGTTCCCAAGGTTTCATCCAAGCAACAACACCCATCCCTTCCCAATGAATCATAACAGCTTTTTTTCTAGCTTCAGCAGACATCTGTGCTCCTCAGAAACTCCACATGAGAAGAGAAGAGGATGCTAAATTAGTTGTCCTATTTTTCTATGAGCACAAGGGAATAGCCATCACTTTACAAGCATCTTCTCTAGCCAAGCAAGTTGGGTTGCTCCTACACAAGCCTCCAGTCCTACTCTGTCAACTCCAGGGAGATGAAAGGCTCCTACCATTTGCAGCTTTTGCCTTTTCTTTCTCATCCTCTTCTTTCTCTGAGCTCTCAGAGCTGCTCACGGGATCAGGAACTCTGATCTTTTCTGGGATGGCTGCCTCGTCATCACTCAACTTTCTTCTCCTCGAATTTGGGGGAGTTCTAGGGAAGAGAAATGGTGTCAAAATGCGTAAAATACATCTTGAACAAACTGGAATACAATTACTCATTTACTGTCAGGTGAGGCTCCAGGACAGGTAGGGTAATTCCTCTACGGCTCCTAAAGGGATGGGAAAAATAATTCTCTAACCTGCAAGGGGCATCTCTAGTCTTCAGGGAACTCCCAAGAGCAACATATCCCTGCAATACTCAGGAGATACTGAACCTAGACCTTTTTTTTCCGTGCCCTAAGCAGACTCTTTCTCACTTTAGCAGAGAAGTAAAAAAATATATGGTCAGGATGGTGTTCAACACAGAGCTAAGGCATCCTACACAACAAATTCCATCTCCGGGAGGCAGCTATAGCCACAGAGTAGTAAGTGCAGCCTCAGGGTTAGGGCAGTGATCCCCAAACAGGTCTTGGTATTCCACAAGACCAGAAGAAATGAATCTGAAGGCTGTAAAAGCCATTTGAACTTGGGCTCCCGGGTCAAAAGGGCAAGAAAGTCAGGCTGCAGAGAGGTTTAAGAAAGAAAGTAGCTGGACCTACAGAAGATATGTTGGGAAAAGGGGAGGAAGAGGCCACAGATAAGCATTAAACACTTAAGCTGTTCAATTGGGTTAAAACATTAAGCTGGAGAAAGATTCCTCCAGGCTCTAAATCCTACCTGACCAGAACAGATGATGTGGGCTAAAGTTACCCATGCTTTCATTTGAAAATTAAAGAGAACACATTTGCTTTATTACAAGGATAACACTGGGCACAGGGTGTGATTCACACAGGCAATACTTCTAAGCCCTGAGACACACAATTATCAGAGGCAAATATCCTCACTTCTGTGCCAGTTTAGCTCACTTTATTTGTTCATCTGTTTTAAAAACAAGATTAGTCCAACAATTTGGCGAGTAAAGATTGTGCTTGTCACCAGAGCGTTCCAGCAGCACAGCTGTAACAGCAAGTTTTGTGCAAGCAGGCTAAGCCAAAGGCATGTTTACTATTCCAAAGTCCTGGTAACTACTCCAATAATCCTTTCAATAAAACAACACGCAGCCCACACAGGCAGCTCTGATCCTGCAACACCTTCCTGACAGCACAACACAGGCTGCTGTCAGTGATCAGGAGCTCAGGGATTCTGTGTGAGGGGAAGATGTAGTGTCTGCTAGCACTGTCCCTGCAGCTTTCCAGAGCATCTGAGGGCTGCAGGACTCTGGCTGCTCCTAGGACTGAGCTGGTCCAGCTTCCTCCTGTCCCCAGGCACCTTTCCACCCATTCACTCCCTGCATCCTCTAAGAGTAAATGCAGTTCTGGAGGGAGGCCACTCCTGTAACTGCAAGTCTCAGCTTTCAGGCTCACTCTGGAAGAGTTTCTGCTGGACAGCACCAAGGACACCTTGGTGAGATAGGCAGGAGCCACAGGGTAATTTAAGGAAGGACATTTTAGGGCCAAAACCCTATGGAGTGACAAGATGTAATAACTGCAGCTCAGTCACAGGAGCACTCCAGGACACCTTCTGGATAAAGAGAACTAATGGTCAACACAACCCTCCTTCTGACTCCAAACCAGGCATAGCTCAGGCAGATCAGGAATAATAGACATCTTTGTGGGGCAGGACGACACCAGAAGGGTGACACTGAAGAAAAAGGAATTAAACCTGATGCAAGTCCCCTGTTGCCCTCAGGTTTAACAGCAGCAGTGTCTGGGAGTGTTTGCTGCAGCAGGCAGGGTAAGGTCACCATTATCACCCACAAGAGCAACAAACTGTTTTAGAGGCAGGAACTGCAAATCTCTCTGTGCTGCTACACCCTCACCTAGACCCAGCTTTTCTCCTGCCCAAGTGTGGAGCACAAGAGCAGGGACCAAGGCTGCAGCAAGGCATGAGGTGTTCCAGCAAAAACACACCTTTGAGGGAAACACTTCCCAAGGCTGCTGGTACGGCCGCGCTGAGGAGCATCCTCACTCCAGCACTCCCAGCTCCAGGAATTCCCTGGATAACCCAGTGCTGAGGCTGCCAAAGGCCTCCCTGCAGCCCTGCACTCCGACATCCAACCAAAGCAAACCCTGGGTAGATGCCACTGTCACTGCACCCCACGGATGGGAAGGCCCCACACAGCAGACCTTCCCGTGGGGAATATGTAAGCACTGGGAACACATCAGGGCTTGAAAGGACAGGCTGAAACCAAAAGATGTCATCTGAGCCAGATCATCTGTGATCTATGCCAAGGTTTAAGTCCCTGCAAGAGTTTTGGCATTTCAACATCTGCTCAACGTCTCTGTTCCTGGGTCAATGCACCTGCAAAGCACGTGGCTTTAAAAAGAAAGTGAAACAGAACCAGGGAACAGATTTCTGACAGTAAAGCACGACTGTGAGCCTCATAACATTCTAGTATTAACCAGCACTAACAGTATCAGCTGCTCAAAACTAAAGTAACAACTTATCTCTAAGCTCAGGAAATTTTAAAACCACAGTAATCTTGAACATCTGAAATGAATTGCTGTGAAACCACAGGTTAGGAGAAAAGTCTGCTGAGCACAGTTATCATTGGAAATACTCTGACAACTGGGAATTCTAGCAAATAAAGATCACACATGCCATGTTAGCACAGCCTGGAATCTACCTGATACTCATTTCGTCCTTTGACTTACTTTTCCCAGTGAGTAAAGATGTCCTCGAGAGAGGTCGAGAGGGAAGGGAGTAACTTCTGTGAAAGCAGAAGGAACACCAGTCAGGCATCAGCCTCGTCTCGAGATGCGACCACCAGACAGAGACCGCAGGGGCCCGTCCAGGAATCCGCGGGCAAACGGGACCATGCCATCCCCACACACACGCTGCCGGTGAATCCCGCAGGGCAGCGTGTCCCCCCTGCGGGTCTCCCCGGCAGCAGCACGTGTCCCCCTGCGGGTCTCCCCGGCAGCAGCACGTGTCCCGGTACGGGACAGCGCTACCCGGCGGGCTGCCAGCCTCCTCCGTTCCCCCGGGCGGCTCGGGGCCGGGACACCACGTGGGCTCAGCGGGCCGGCGTGCAGCCGCGGAGCCACGAGCGCAGGGCCCCATGGCCCGCACCGGTGTCGCACCCGGTGGTCGCTGAGGGCCCCAAGGGGGTCCGGGCCCTGCCGAGGCCCGCGCGCTCCGCGGGATCATTCCCCCCGCCGCGGCCTTGCTGCCTCCCCCGAGGCCCGGGCGCGTCCGCCCCCGTTACCTGCCCGGTCTGCGCCTGCAGTTCGCGGGCGGCCCGCGCGAAGCCGCCGCGCAGCAGGTGCTGGTGGATGAGGGCGAGCAGCTCCCGCCCGCCACCGGCGGCCATGGCACTCCGCGTGCCGCGCCGCCGCGCGTCACTTCCGCCTCCGCCGCGACGCACCATGGGAAATGTAGTCCCGGAGGGGGGCGTCGGGGGCACCATTAGGGGGGATCTGGTGCTGGCGGGGGGTGCAGGGGGTCGCTCCGTGGGGGTCTCTTGCACCGCCCCCGGCAGGGGATGGAGGGCGATGCAGGGCGGCTGGGAGTCACCTCATGGAGGCCCCGCACATCGCCCTGGTGGGAGGTGGAGAAGGGAAGGGCGAGGAGGGGGTGTCGCTCCATGGGGGTCTCACACACCGCCCCGGCAGGAGATGGGGGAGGATGGAAAGGGGGGTTCGCCCGGCCGGAGCTGGGCCCCTCACACCCCCTCGGCAGGAGATGGGGGCGCTCTGGGAGCGAAGGGGGCGGGGGTGGTTAGGGTACCACCACCGTGTGTAATTCTGTGCGTTTTGGAACAGATTTTCCTGCAGGATTCATCCACGGCGCTCCGGAGCTGAATCCTCGGGGCTGATTTAATGCTGAGTGGACATTAAGCTGCTGAGAGGAGCCGCTGGCGTTTTAGGGGCTAAAACAAGCAAAGGGCGAGAGGGAAGAAGCTGCTCCTGATGCAGAGCAGCTGTTGGAGAGGGGCCTGTGACAGAGGGGCTGCCCCGCGGCCACCCCCCACCCCGCGCTGATACTTTCCAGGAAAAAATCTGGCTCCCATCACTTTGGCAGAGGTTTATTTTTGGAAGGTTTAATAGTGTCCATGGTGTGCCTGTCGCTCATTCAAAATACAGACCCTTTATTCGTGTTCATAGGCAGGATTAAATATAAAACTGGCATGGCTCCAGCTGGCTCTTGCACCAAACGTCTCTGACACCAGCATCGTCCAAAGCTGTAAAGCTACGGTCCAGGTGGCAGTTTTACAGCTCCTGTAAATGAATCCCAGACCTGGCCAGTCCTTTCTGGGACTGACCTCCCCCTGCACAAGTGGTCATGGCATGAACATGGCCATGAAACACGCAGCAACAGTGTGGCTGCCCCAGGATGGAGTCCCGGCTCAGCTACTGCTGCTCCGAGGTGAACTGAGGTAACCAGGTCTCAGCTGGTGGCCTGGTTTGGGGCCCTGGTTCTCCTTGCTGGAAAGGAAGAGCCAAATGGAAGCATTCTTGGGTAGAGAGCACAGAAGGGTGTCTCTTGGGGAGGCTGTGGAAGGGGCTGAGTGGACAGAGGCAGCCTGGGGACATTGACTTCGTGGCCTCTGAAAGTGTGGTTGGGTGGAGATTGAGCCCCCAGGGGTTCACAAAGGGCTCTGTCTGCTGCAGGTACGTGGATGAACAGATATAGACCTGCTTTGACATGGCCTGGAATGGCTTTATACCTCCAGGAATTGCTCAACTCGCTTTGTTTATATAAAACCCTCCCCCAAATCTGAACACCAACACAGCTCCCACCAGCAGCCTGGTGATTACAGGAGCTGATGCTCGGGGCTCAGGCAGGAAGGAGTGGTCCCTCCTGGTCAGCAAAGCTCTCCAAACAAATGTCAAACTATTAATGGTGCAGGGAATTGCAAAAACACCGTTTGGAGAGGTCTAGGTGGAGGGTGGATGGGACATTTAATGCTGAGAGGAGGACAGGTGACCAAGTCATCAGGTGCCAGCAGAGAGACAAAGGAGAGGAATACATCCTGACAACCCTCAGGGGTGGGACAATGTAGGCAGACACTCAGCTCAGGTACAGGCAGGAGAGGAGAGTACAGCCCTGCAGGGCATGATGGCAGTGTGCTGGTCTGGGGTTCGAGGTGTTGTGCCAGCCCAGCTTTTCCAGAGCTCTCCAGTCTCTGTGCCAAGGGATGATGCTTCACAGGGTGTCTGGGGAAACTGGCTGCGTTAGTTTCCCCCAGCATTCAGGTGCCAGGAGTCCAATAAACCCCTGCTCTGCTGCATTTTCAGGCCTCCTCCTCTCCCATGGCTTGGGACTCACATGTACTAGAAAGCATAAAGGGTTTGGCTTTGACCAACTTCATGGAAGGGAAAAAGACAAAGGAGCACAGATGGCAGGAAACACTTTCAGGAGAGATTGCTCTGGAGGAAGGCAAATAGAGGATGTTAAAGCCCTGAGCGCTTATGCACAAATGGTTTGAAAAATTGAGTCCATTTCCCCGCCCCCCCAAGTGTTTCTTCACAGGTCTGCCACAGTTCAGGGTCACCTGAGTCCAAAGATTCATACCCTCAAACCACGAATACCCTCAGCAAACCACATCTCAGGGCCTGGGAATAACACGACCCACTTGAATGAAGAAATCTGAAAAAAATAATATGTACGCTGCACCACAATTACAGGTAGAGAAGGTATTTGAGGCGGTTAGTAAACATGTCAAAAAATAAATACAGCTATTCAGTCAGCAAACAGCTGCATGATTATAACCAGGAAAATATATGCCAGCCCAAAGCCAGCTGAGACCCAACAACATGCACTTATTAAGGAGTGGTTTTTGTGTGTGCATGTGTGCATTTTTTGGAGGGAGGTTGAAAACATTTTGCCCATTCTTTATTTTAGGAAGGTGAAATATCCCTGGTGGATTTCAAAAGCCAACTTCTTGGGTATGAGTTGTCCATGCCAAGACACTGAGTCACGGAGAGATCGGAGGAAGCTGTTGGAAATCCAGACAGGGGATAAAACAGCTGTAATTGAGAAGCCAGCTCAGCTCTGTCTCTAATAACCACAGAGCCCTGTCCCTGTCCTCAGCCTTCAAGCTGAAGGCTTTGCTCACTGCCACTTTCACATGCTCTCTGGTTATTGCTTGGGGTCAAACTTGTCCACACCTATTCCATTCTGAATGACTGCTTATGTCTGGGCCAAGCCCAGGTTCAGGGAGTGTGCCTGCAGGCTGGAGAGCCCAACGGGAGCTGACAGCCTCCAGGCACGTCTGCTGGACCCCTGGGCTTGCAGGAACACGCTGCTCTCCAAGCTTCGATTTAATGTTTTTATCCACACGTAAGTTTCTGGCATGTCCTGTGTTGTAGCAGTCTGGGACACATCTCCCATCGTTATCCAGCCTTTTTGTTTGGTGTATGTGGAGTTGCTTATGCCTATTTAGGAGTTGCAGAGTGAAGGGACTTCGTGATTTGTAGGGCAGGGAGCAGGGACAGGAGGAAAGGCACTCTGGCTGCTCCTCAGCTGCTGCAGCTCCTTGCCTGACCCATTTCATGGCTGCTGATTCCAGCCAGAGCACGAGCTGCCGGCACGTTGATCCTTCTGCCTCGGCACCAGAGCAGGTTGGGATGGGTGGCCAGGGACATGACCCTTGCAACCCCCAACAGGTAACTCTGATGTGTCTCATGACTCAGAGTGTTGGCTGAAAGTGCTTAGGATAATCTTCATGGCCGAGTTCAGAAACTGAGCTGAATTTCCCTGCTCTGAGTGCCCTGTCAAAAGAGCTTTGAGCCCTCTCCCTCCTGGAAAAACCCTCGGGGGTGCCACTGGGCTGAGCAGAGGAGGGAGTATGGAGGAGGTGGGGATGGGACGGGACAAGGTGCAAGAGATAGATGGAGAAGAAAGGTGTTAACATGGACACAGGAGAAAGGGGAGCAGTGAAGGAATAGAGAAAGGGGTTCTCTTTTCCCAGGGAAGATGAGTCAGGGAAGGGAGGTAGGAAGTAAAGGAAAATCTGAGAAGGGATGGAGAAGCAGAGGAAATGACCAAATTAGCCTGAGGGGATTTGCTCACTGGGGGCCCTGCCTGGACAACTCTGGGTGTGGAGGGGGTTTTCCAGGTGCTGCTCTCCCCGGCTTTGAGTCACGGTTGTTACCAGCATGTCTCACCACCATCTGGGTAATGTCCTGGGCAGTAGCCAGGCCTGGAGGCAAAATTGTACATGGCCACAGTCACTGTCCTCTGCCCAGTCGGTGGGCTCAGCCTTTGCAAGGACAAGGAGCTGCTTTGGGAACAGTCTGACTCAGGAATCCTGTTTTATTCTCCCCCCTTTGTTTTGCTGTTCTCTTCCCCCCTCCTCCTTTTTCTTTGTCTGCTAATGCACAGCAGATGGGAGGAAATGCCATTTTAAATGCCACAGCATCCTGATGAAATGTGATGGGTTATGGCAATCTCGGATGAATCATGGCATTGTTTTGTGTACACTGCCCTGCTGCCTCACTGGGGCAGCTCTCTCAGTGTTTAGCAAATACACCGAGGATTGTTCAGGCATCCCCAGCAGCCTGGTGACAGGTGCCCTCCCAGACCTGGATGTCCAAGTCACATTCATAAATTAACCAGCCGCATTTGTGGAGGCCAAACCGAGGCTGTGGCACTTGGAGACCAGCATTTAGTTTTGAAACATCTGCTCCACGTTGCCTTTGGGGCTTGGAGGTTATAAATGACACTCAAATCCCATGCTATGTTCATAGGATTTTTGCACACAGTGGAAGAACAAGATTGGGAGAGCCCAACAAGGTGCAGCACAGCCCTCCCTGGCACCTCCAGCTTAGCTGCCGGTCCCCTTGGAAAGCCAAGCTGTGTCACCACATCTGCCTCTTCCTTTGCCCCACAGCTGGGATGGATCCACAGAGCCAAAGCTGAGGGGATTTCTGTGATGTGGCCACTTGCTGTTGGGGCTTTGCTTGGGGTGGTCAGATCATTTCCCCTAAGCTATGAGGCAGGTATCAAATAATATTGACTCACTCTCCAGCAGCTTGCTGCCAGATGAGAAGGAGCAGCTCAGAAGTGAAAAAAAATATTGAAAAAATACATATACGCATATCCTAAAAGCTCCATCACTGAAACTCAGAGCAACCCAGCCCTTTTGGTTTCAAACTAATTAACTGGGGGGAAAAAGTCACCTCTAAGCCTGCAAAATATAAAGCAGTTTTTAAATTTCGGTAGCTGAAAGAACAGATTTGAGAACTCCAACGAGCAGAAGACGTGACATTAAAATTTGGTTGCAATATGCTTAACAATCTCGATTGGAAGTGTCTCTCTGGCTGTGTCTCACTGCCTGTGTGTCTGCTGGCGTGGCAGTTATTCAGTGCTGG